TCTACCTCTCCTCTCCCTAGCCCCTCCCATATCTACCTCTCCTCTCCGTAGCCCCTCCCATATCTACCTTTCACTTACACCAATCTCATGCCATTTTTTTTTAAAAAAATAACCCACCAAGTCCAGTTTGTGCTGCCCATGGACTCATAGGTGTGGACTGTCCACTGGAGCATGGCTGACCTACTAAGGATCAAAGCCTTAAAGAAAGGACTCCCTCTTCCCTATGTCAGTTGTCAGTCCTCCCTGCTAGGGATGGGGCTTGGAGCCCCTCCCTCCATGCCGGAGTGTAGACTGTCTTGATCTTGTGCAGGCAGCCCCAGCTACAGTGAGGCCATGAGTCCAGTGTTCTAACGTGTCCCAGAAGACACTGTTTCAGCTCCTGCACGAGCTCGAGCCAGAAACGAGATAGATGTCTATATGACCCCCTCAGCCTTGGTAATTTTGAGTCAGGGTCTTAATATAGCACAGGCAGGCCTCAATCTCGTGATCCTCCTGTCTCTGCCTTCTCAGTGCCAGGGCTGAAGATGTGTGTTTCCCAAGCCTCTTTGAGTTGGTTGGTACTCAGTAGGGTTCCTTGGCTTCAAGTGTGGAAAATAGAGCTCCTCGGTGTCCTCAGGGGGACTGAGTCACAGCAGAATGGCCCAGTTGACTAAAACAGTCATCTCCATGGAAACATGTTAAGTAAGGAATCACCAAAGCAATTGAGGCTGGAAATTTGAAAACCCTAGTGTTCACCTACGGCTCCTTACCCTACTTCCGGAGGAGAACATCTGCTCACCCTGTAGGAACAGGTTGTGTAGAGACCATGGTGGTTTTTCACCATTGATATTTCTGTCAGAGGGTTCCAGTGACACGTAGTTCTCACAAATTATGTGAGCAGTGACATTTGTAAACGTATCCATTTCCCCAGGTCTTGGCCAGAGGATCCCGCCATCAGGTGGCTCTAATGATAGTCCTGTTAAGATCTCACGAGTGTACCTCTCAACTTCTAGACACCCAAGAGGCAGAGGATCTGCCAGGAGAAGGGCAGGGAGGGCAAACCAGGGGGGCAAGGATGCTTGATACAGTGCAGGCCATTTCCAGACGACAAAGCAGGCAGCTCTGGGAGGTGAGAGGTTTCCTCCATGTTAGATAGTCTGTGAAGTGGCTCTGGGTCCATGAGCTGATTCCTGCTGGAGATTCCCTCACATCCGCTCACTCCCAGCTCACATCTCTTGCTCCTGGGCAGCAGGGGTGTACTGTGGCACACCAGCTGGCTGTCCACACATTTCTAGCCCCAGTACAGTCAGCCTTGGTGGGAAGACTCACCATCAATGGCTCAAATCAGCCCCTTGCTGAGAACTGGCTAGGGGCTTTAACCCACTCACTGGTGTCTTTGAGAGCTGGACACTCCCGTAGCTTTATACCTGGCCTCATCCCCGCTGTCTCCTGCAGTAGCTGAGATGCTCTTTGACACTAAGGATGTAGCCCACGTGCTTAGCATGTGGGAGGCTGAGTTCAGTCCCTAACAATACCTCCAACAAGCAAATACACCCAGAGGTGACTGAAGCTACTTTGTAGACCTGCACACAGGGCACAGGCTCCAGCTGACATGGGACCTTGGGAAAATCACTATTCCTTGGGTAGCATTGCCTGTTAAGCAAAGAGTCTTAGGGCCGACCTCTGTTCTTCCCCAAAACAAGCTGTGTGCTGCTCTGCTCTGATGTTACAGGGGACGTCATGGTGTCACCTGACTCTTTCCACAGGAAGGGCTTTTACAGCTCAGGTGTTGCTCACTTTCTTTATCTGCTTGACATTTCTTACTTCTTCAAGGGAAATGATAACAGAGTTTGACATTCCACAGGGCCAGGGCCACTAGAGACAGAAGTTGAACAGCTATCGGAATGGCTACCATTGATGGCTCAGTTGCTAGGAGTCAGGGGCCCATGATGCACTGGTGTGGACGGGTATCTTTGCTGAAACAGTCTCCGTAGCCCTGAAAGACCTAGAGTTCTGAAAAGTAGCATTCTAAAAATAACAGGGTACATAGATGACACGGGGCTGGAGCTGACCATTCCAGTGTTATATAACCGTGCTTGGGGACACTGTGCTAAGTGAAGTCGGCTAGTTACAAAAGGGCGAGCCTTGGGGACTGGGAGGTGGGGAGCAGAAGCTCAGTGACAGAGCGTTGGCCTCGTGTGTAAAAGCCCCGAGTTCAATCCCAAGCATCTGGGAAGAAAATGACAAGAACCCAGACTGTCCTTACATCCTGTTATCTGAGGTTTCTGGGGCAGCGAGAGAGAAGAGTGGATGGTTTCCTCCTCCTGGGGACTTGGGAAGTAGGGAGTAGAATTCTTCAGCCTGGCCAAATGCTGGGAAGCTGAGCCTGGATGGGGGAGGGGTGGCAGGGCAAAATAGTGAACGTCTAAACCCACACAACTGGACTTAGTCATATTTAAGGTGACTCAAGTGTGATGGTACAGTCCCACCAGGAGAACACAGAGGCAGGAGGATCACTTCAAGTTCAAGGCCAACCTGATCTACATACTGATATTTTGTTGGGAAAAAAAATTAGGATGATGATCCAGAGCTGGTGGCATAGTTCAGCAGGTGACGGCACCTGCAGCAGGCTGATGTCCTTAAATGTAAGGTTGGAAATGGGGACAGTGCTACACTAAGTCTTTCCCAGGCCTGCTGCTTGGTACCAGTCTGGGGACAGATGGTGCTACAGTAGAGCAGAGGAAATCCAGACGGGTCACTTCCATCTGTCCTGGGGCCTGTCTCTACAACTCTGCCACACCCCTTGAGAAAAAAAATTAAAAAATAAAATAAAATGGGGACAGCGGATGTGGTGGTACATGCTTCCAATCTGAGAGCTTCAGATGAGGTTCTTGCTATTCTTTTTAAGTGTGTCTCCAAGGAAATTGGAAACCATCATCTGCCAAGCCCGTGTGTGTGCACGCATGTAATTCCAGGTGGTCCTGTCCAAAGAAAAGGCACAGTTATCCCCATTGTTTTTATTACTTATTTATTTTGCGACAGGGTCTCACTGTGTAGCCCTGGCTGGCCTAGAACTTGATATGTAGACCAGGCTGGCCTCAGACTCGCACACATCTGTCTGCCTCTGTCTCCTGAGTGGTGACTTCAGCTGCACCAACTTTAAATTGAGGTTTTTTTCTTTTTTTAAGTTTTTAGTCATGTGTTTGTGTGTTTCAGGGATATGTACATGTGTGTGCAGATGTCCACAGAGGCCACAAGAAGGTGTTGGATCTCCTGGAACTGGAGTTATGGGTGGTCGTGGACTTCCTGATGTGGGTGCTAGGAACCTAACTCAGGTCCTCTGCAGGAGCTACAAGTCACTTCTCTAACTCTTTAGATGAGGTCTTGTCACCTGGCTCCTTAAACTGCTACGGACAGAAACTCTGGCCAGCCAGCCCTGGTTCTCTCTGTCTTGCGCTCTGGCGAGACAACATCATACCTGCTGTTAGTCAGAAAGCGATTCGGAGGAATGGCCTGGAGATCTGGGCGGAGGTGGAAGTGACCTGGCCACCCTCACACTGCCCTCTTCCCTTGCAGACATTGGCACCCGCCATCAACTGGTTACCTTTTCTGAACACCATCTTTTACCCAGTGGAGATCAATGAGTCTGAGCCCATCGTGGTCTACGACAAGGAATACTTGAAACAAGTCTCCACCCTCATCAACAACACCGACAAATGGTAACGGGGAGACACGGGTGCTGAGGGAACAAGGTGGTCTGGGATGGCTCCCTCGACGGCAGCCCCTCCCTCAGGCAGGATGGGGACAAGTGACATTCAGACTCAGAGAAAGGGTCCCAGATGGACTTCTGTGTGAGGCTCCTGGTTCTGACTACAGGTTCGAATCCCAGCTCCTCCTCCCTTGGCCTTGTAGCCTCAGGACAAGTGCATCCCCCCCAGGGTCCCTCTCCCACCCATGCAGTGAGGCTGTGAGAGGTAGAAGAGTTAAGAGAAGGCAGTCCTGACAAAGTCCTGAGACCCAGTAAATACTGGGTACTGGTTTCAGTTAATACCCAGGGACACTTTTTAGATTTTAAAGGCGGAAATGTTGGAAGGTGTAAGAAAAAAAAAGAGCTCCTAGGAGCTGGAGAGATGGCTCAGTGGTTAAGAGCATTGACTGCTCTTCCAGAGGTCCTGAGTTCAATTCCTACCAACCACATGGTAGCTCACAACCATCTGTAATGGGATCCGATGCCCTCTTCTGGCATGCAGGTGTATAGGCAGACAGAGTACTTAGTAAATCTTTTCTAAAAGGGCGCTCCTAGGTCGTGTGTATTTGTGCTTATTTTAGATTTCCCCATCTATGGCATTCCCCTGTCAACAGAACCGGATGTTTTTCCCATGGCCTCTTTCATCTTCCCTCACAACATCCCGACTCTCTGCAGACATTTTCCTAGCTTCGTAGTATTCCTTCGAGTATACATGTGTTCATTTGCCTTTCCCTTGGCAAGTGTTTAGATTAAATGGACATCTTTGTGCTAAGGTGAGGTCTTTGCAAGCACAGCAGTGGCCACAGAGAGGTTTCCTGTGCCCTAGAGACGGGACAGAAGGAGCTGCCAATCATAGAACCTTGAGCCTAGCTGGCCTCCTCCTTCTGGCTGGGATAGAGTAACCAAGCAATGACATTTATTGAGTACCAATGGCATACAAGTGATTGCATTAGATACCAAAGGTTTTCTGCAGTGGAAGAGCTGGGCTTGACCCTCAAGAGCTTATGGTCCCTCTGCTTAGCAGTATGGGCAGACTGGAGGAGAACCTAGGTCAGAAATGAGTTTGAATGCTACCCAGGCGTCTCTGAACTTTCCCTGGTTCTGTCACCACAGCCTGCTCAATAACTACATGATGTGGAACCTGGTACGGAAAACCAGCTCCTTCCTGGATCAGCGCTTTCAGGATGCCGACGAGAAGTTCATGGAGGTTATGTACGGGACGAAGAAGGTGAGTGTGCTACCGTGCGCACCACGCATAGGCAGGGCGTGAGGGGATTGTGGTTCTGCGGCAGCCTGTGGCTGTGGGTCTCCTAAGGGAGGAGATTTAACAGAGCCACTGGGGTTGGGACAGCTGCTGTCCATGGGGGCCCAGAAGGGGACCTGAGCCACAGGAAGTGGGTAGGAAGCAAGAACACTGAGTCAAACTGCAAAGAGGTATCTTAGGAATGAAACTGATTGAGAGCAAATGTGGTTTATAGACCCTTCACTCTATCGATGGCTGCTTCCCTTGTGTGACGTGATCCTCACATGGGAATCACATTTTTCTTTTGATTTACTATTATTCTGTGTGTGTGTGAGATGTGTGTGTGGATACATACAATGGTGCATGTGTGCGGTCATAGAACAACTTTTGGGGTCAGTTCTTCTACCGTGGGTTCCGAGAATTGAACTCAGTTCGTCAGGCTTGTGCAGTAAGCCCTTTTGCCACTGAGCCATCTCACCTGCCCTCTTTGTCTTTTCCATGAGACAGGGTCTCATGTAGCCCAGGCTGGCCTCTGTTCCTTGCTGTGTCAACTGACATATCACATATGAAAACCCTGTATTTTGGCTGGGTAGTGATAGTACTTGCCTTTAATCCCAGTACTTGGGTGGCAGAAACAGTATGTTTCTGGCTAGTCTCGTCTACAGAGAGAGAGTTCCAGGATAGCCAATGATATCCAATGGTGAAACCCTATCGCAAAAAGAGGAAGAAGAGGAAGAGAAGGAAGAAGAGGAGGAGAAGGAAGACCTTGTATTTTGATTATTATCCGCTTGTTGCTGTAGGGAACCCCACATTTGATTACTCATCTGCCTGTGATGGGCGTTGGTGCTGTGATCGGTCTGGGGCTGTAACTGCCAGCTCTCCAGGGTGAAGAGAACCCTACAACAGTCGTTTACATAAGCAGGGTGCCCATGTGTGATCACACGGTCCTCCAGGGCTGCCATGCAGAGGCGAGTGGGACCAAGCCTTCCCAGGGCTTCAGCCAGATCTCTGCTGTAGTCAGCTACCTTGTCTGCAGTGTCTGCTGGTCAGACATCCTGTGGATGTGAGGCCTTAGGAGAAGAAAGAGAACCTTTTGCTGCACTGGAGCTGGAACACACTAGAGGGACTGGGCTGACCTTGAACACACAGATCTATCTGCCTCTGTCTCCTGAGTGCTGGGATTAAAGGCATGCGCCATCATACCTAGCCCTGCACCTAGCGTTATGTGATGCTAGAACATAAACCCAGGGCCCCTTGCATACACACTCCCTAACTGAGCTACATCCCCACGCCTTTTGGGACCAGGCTGAAGAAAGAAAGGGGGATCTTACTCTGTAGCCCAGGCTAGTCTCAAACCTCAGGTCACCAACTCAAGGCTACCATGTCTATCTTTTTTTTTTTTCTTTAGTACTGGTGACAGAATCTATAGCCTCTGACCTGCTAGTGCACTCTGTCACTGAGCTATATCCCTAGTCCTGAGTCTTCTTGGCTCAGTACCTAAAGTAGCCTCCACTGAGTCTGAAGGTCCAGAAGAAAGCACAGGCCCCTGGTGGCACCATTCAGGGTGGAAAGGGCCTGGGAGGAGGGCTCTGCCCACGGACAGCCATGTGTGTGTCCCACTGACAGCCATGTGTGTGTTTTCCAGACCTGTCTTCCCCGCTGGAAGTTTTGCGTGAGTGACACAGAAAACAACCTGGGCTTTGCCCTGGGCCCCATGTTCGTGAAAGCAACCTTTGCGGAAGATAGCAAGAACATAGTAAGTGCCTCCCATGTATAGGGTGCTGGGGATTGAACCCAGGGCCCCACATATACTAAACAAGCACTCTACCTACCAACTGAGCCCCGGGCCCAGCCCTTGCTGTGGTCGCTAATAGTGCTGACTGCACAGAGATTATGTCAGGCTGCCGTTAACACAGATTCCAGTTGGAGTCAAAGGCTCTCTGCCTTCAGTCCATCACCGCTGCTGCTGTGTCTCTTCTCCAGAATCTTCAGCCTGTCTCTGACCTCCAGGTCTGGCCATGACATCATTTCCTTCCAGAGCTACTGTTCATCTCCTGAGTGATCACAACCTTTTGGAAACTGTCCCTAAGAGATAGATTTTCTAGATTTCAAAGCTCACTCCATTCAAAATGATTTCTTTGCTCTGGTCAGTCTGGGGAAGGCTATGGATTCTAGCCTTCTCTGAGGTCATCACAGTCCACTGGTCCATCTTAGAGGTTCTGAAAAGTCCTGCAGCACAGACTTGTCAACTTCCTGAAAGTCTGCCCCATCTTACGTAACCCCGGTCCTGTTAGTGGGAGGCCAGCCTTGGCTTGCAGGGTTCTGTAAGGAGAGGACGGGTAGGAAACATGGATCCTCCCTTACCCGGCACCGGCTGGCAGTGTCCTCAGGCACAGGGCTCCTGGTGATGCCAGGCCCAGCCCTTACCGGTGTGGCATCTGTCCCCTCAGGCCAGTGAGATCATCTTGGAGATCAAGAAGGCATTTGAGGAGAGTCTGAGCACCCTGAAATGGATGGATGAAGAGACTCGGAGGTCGGCCAAGGAGAAGGTGAGGCTACCTTGCTGTTCAGAGGGCACTAGGCTGCCAGTCTAGAAGCAAAGCTGTGTCTGGGGGAGGGAAGTCGGTAGGAGAGACTCTGTCCAGTGAGGATGTGTGTGGATGCCTTGGTGCCCTGTGACTCTGGTGGCACGTGGGGCATCCTGAAGCCCCTAGTGGCGTGATGTCAAGGGACATACCATAGCAGAAGGGGGAAGGGCAAAGGACATGCACACTCTAGAAGGGGCTAGACCAACCCTTTCCATAAGAGCTG